GGCTTGGGCGGCGGGGTCCTGATGCACGCGCTGCCCTCAGGGAGTAGCTGTGTAATTTATCTTCTAAAGAGGCGATTTCAGTTGCAGATGTTTCAGTCCATAGTCACTGGGCCCTGTGGCTTTGAGGCAGTGGTAGCAGAGGATGTCACTGGCAGAAGTGCGTTGTGGAGTCCTGTTTACCTCCTGAGGGCTTCCAAGAGCACCATGGCTGGCTACCAAGCCTATAGAAATGGCCTTTGGGAGACACTTATACCAGGTGCCACAGCATAGAGTGAGTGTCCAAGTCTGATGAGATGGGACACTTGTATTACATCCTTGTTACATAAACACTTTATTTAGAATTTTAAGAGAAAAAAAGCAAGAATATTATGCTTGTTATTCACTTAAACCTATGTATACATATATGTTATGAAATGTATATTAGGCTGTTATTACAATGAAATGACAAATTATTACCTGTTAATCAGCATGATTTCAATAGTCCTTATGTATTAAAACACAGAATAAAAAGAAAACTATATTGGCTGAAATACAGTATATATTATGCAATCTACTTACTAATAATCTTAATATTTAGCTTTTCTTGGGCTTTCTTATTGTTAATGAATAATTAATGGCAATGGATATTTATGTACATCTTCTCTCTTGTTCAGATACTTAACTAGGCATTGGGTTGTAGAACAGGGACACCACAAGGCAAACTGTAATTTGGGGAACTGAATTTAATACAGCGAGAAATAACAAGTAATGAGTTTAACACTGAAAGGTAGAAAAGCAAATGTTTACATTATTTTGTCATTCAAGCAGTTCTCGAAAGTAAGAGTTGATCTCAGCAAATATCAATGAATTAATAAGTCAAATATGACTCTTGAAATGAGGCATTCTAGAAGTACAAAGCCACACTCATGGAATCATCCTTCTTATTCATCTAGTCTGGTTTTACACAGGCATTTAAATCCCTGGGATTAGAATTCATAAATTGATGCTATGCATCATGTCAAGTACATGTTAAGCATCTAGTGCTGTAAGGTCCCAAGATTCTGCCTAATGAGGACCAAGGGAGAAGATATATAACATCCATTTTTCCTGGAATTAGAGATCAACCCCTCCTTGGCATAAGTCTTGTCAAGGCAAATTGAACCCTCAGCAACTTCCACAAAGGTGCTCACTGTTTATAGTTGCTCTTTTCTTTCTGTCTAATTACATTATCTGAGTTTTAAAATATAAGTTAAGGAGGACAGCTCATACTGGTAACACTGTTTCAGAATAAAACCTAGGTCCTTATTGTACAGAAGGTTTTACGTACAGCAATTACTTTTTTTTAAATTATCTTTTTGAGGCAGGGTCTTGCTATGCAGTTCAGGCTGGCCTTGAGCTCACTTTGTAACCCAGGATGGTCTCAAACTCGCAGTGATTCTCCTGCCTCAGCCTCCCAAGTGCTGGGATTACAGGCGTGCACCACCACACCCGGCTCGTACAGCAATTACATAGCTGCTCACGCACTAAAAGTGGCAGGCACCACCTCCACACAAAAACTGTAAACATTATGTACTGCAAACATGTATTAATAACAAAATAAAATCATCCTGACAAAAATAATACATTCTTGCTGTGGGTTATTTTGTAATTGCCAAACACTCCTATCAAAGAGGAAGAAAAGTGCTATGGAAATTTACAGCTCCTTCTGCTCAACTCATTGTACATTAAAAACCATTGATCCGTTTCTTGAGATCTTGAAGTGTATCTTATTGCTTTCAAAAAGTATTTCTGGGAGGTCATAAATGTACCATGCCCATAAAATAGGCATCTCTTGAATTTGGGTTATTCATCAGAATCTACTTATTAATTGCCTAAGCACACAAGACCCTTCACATTTACTTTCTCAAGGCATAAGATAAACCAGGGCACGTTCTTCTCAGGCATCAAGATGACAATGTGTGTTCTGAAATATCTTAGCTATGCATTAATGCTTTAAAAGCAGTCACCAAAATGTTAGGTCTCTAACTTCTTCCATTAAGTGAGAATGAAAGGTAAATTGCGAGTAGATCAGGATGAGATAGTAATATTTATTTGAGATAGATAATGAATCGAATATTTTTCCTGTATTTCCAGTGATATTTTAGGTTAATTGTGTGCATTTAAAAAGGTTCTAACATTTTTTTAAATCTCGTGTCCTGATTGTGGTTTGCGGAATATCTAACAAAACAAAAATCTTTTCCTTTGTGGAAAAGGATGAAGCAAGACTGGGTGAGCATTTGAGCAGACCAGCAGGAAAACCTCTCATGTGAGGGTCAGACATGCTCCGAGGCTGAGTACAAAGTCCACTTACCTTGTAACAGGAAATCTTCCATGTTATCCATTTCTACATTTTAGGTTCAAGAAAACAAAACAAATGTGCTTAAACCCAACTTGGAATAGGGTCTTATTTTATACTGAACCTTGAAAAAAATATAGGTCATACATCAAATGCAACAAACTGAAATAGGAGTGACTGGGTGTTCCACAAAACTAACTATTAAACCAAAGGGATAAAAAAAATAAAGTTGCTTTTTAAAATCATTTCTTACCATTTGATTGTGTCATATTTCTGAAAAGTATTTCTGGGTAATCCAGGGATCCTTCACAAATTTGAGTTGATTTGTTTCCTCCTTATGAATGAGGAAATTACCTATAAACAACAACAACAAAAATGGAGTTTGAATGCCATACAGATCACTAACTAGCAGAATTAAGATAGCTCATGATTTATAACTTTTACAATGATGATCATATTTGACTTGGAAAAAAATATACCTGACAACTTTCAGTAAAACTGGTTAGAGACAATGCTTATGGTATCCCCCTTATGTAAAACAGAAAACTGTTGAGTTTGAATTTATTCTTGTGGCCACATATTTTTAATAGTCTATTGTTATGGTTGATACAACTTGGGGAGTCTAGAGGTTTGGCTAAGTGACTCAGCAGTTCTGCATCCTGGGGTGCAAAGGACAGGCCCTTCCTGCTCTAGGATGTTGTTCATTGTGTCAGTGTGAGAAGTTTAGAAGGCTAACTATGTGAGTGCCGCCCCCTGGGTGTGGGCAGCCTTCTTACAATATAAGAGAGGGAAAGAGGCTTGCATGCACTGCCATTCCCCCCTTTGCCCTTGTTGCTTTGTTATCTTCTGCCTCGGAGCCAACCAAGTATGGACTGAAAGCTCCACAAACTGTGAGCTAAATAAACCTTTCCTTCCTTCATTTTGGGGGTTGAGTGTTTTGTCTCAGCAATGAGAGAAAAGTAACTAAGACAGCTATGTAAGATTTTTTCCTAAGGATATATTAAAACCAAAGTTGGCAAAAGAAAAGAACAATGTTAATACTTATTACTTAAAGTGCTTCTTTTAAATTGAGAATTATTTAATATAGTGCTGTTCTACATATGTGTGCACATGCATGTACACTAATATAGCTATTTTCTATATAAACTTTTACTTTATGTATTATTTGTGTGGCTTTCAAGGAGTATTTATTAAAGGTATAGAGCACATAAGGTCAATACCACATATTGGAGCACTGTTCTGAGGCACCCAGGGAGATAGACAGTTAAGAGAATATAAGTCATGTCTGTAAAATGCTCAAGTACTATAAGTCAAAGTCATGATGCTGTTAGAAAGGATTTTGTGGTCATAATGGAAGTGGAATTGTTGGGAAAGTCAGACATGAATTTTAAAATGTGTAAAAGCAAAAGACCGCAGAGGTCTTGATAAATGTGTGTGTGTGAGGCGGTGACATGGGATATTATAGACAAGGGGAGCTTCACAGGTAGAAGCCTTGAGGCTGAAGACATCTTTGCTTGGTCAAGGACATAAAAGACCTTTGAGGTTACAGAACACAGGAAGGAGATGTTCTCAGAGATGAGAATGCACAGGGGCCAGGTCACATAAGTTTAATGTCTATTCACTCTAAGATAAGCTCTTCTAGAGATGTTCTACAACTCATCTGTTTTATATGCCACTTTTCTATCCAACGTTAGATACTCATTCAATGCACTTTTAAATCATTGTTTAATTTCCTTCAGCCTTTTGGTTCTTCAAAACCTGAAACTGTCAAGAAAGCCAGCATGACAATAAGAGAAAACTCAGCTGTTAGGAAGATTAAAGGCAGAAAAAGAAGGCCCCAATTTTCCCGACACTTTCCACCTCAAACCGGAAGAAAACCAGAAGAAACTGGAAGAAAAGATAACTCTTCCTAATCTGGACAGTAGTCATGCCTAGACTAACAAGAATAACAGTTCCTATAAGACTACGAGACACCCAGATAGTGAGCTAGATGCAGCAAGGGCCTCATAAATATTTGAAATAATAAAATATAGCTTTCGGGGTGGGGAGCACCAGTCTTCTGACCGGTGGCTCACTCCCTGCCTCGTAGGCCCCGGAAGGAGGGCTTCCAGCGCACAGGGAGCCACGGGCGGGGAGCCCCGGTCTTCTGGCTAGCTTCCTGCCTCGTAGGCTCCTGGAGGGAGGGTCCCCGGCGCATGGGGAGCCATGCAGTGGCGAGCGCTGTTGCGCACCGGCCCTTAGGCCGGATGCCGCCGCTCAATTGAGATCTATCATGACACAGAGAAATAGTGACACAATCGGCCCACCATGCAATGACTGCAGATGCCCAACCACGGACGTGTGTGAATCATTCAAACTTTGAACAACATGCCATACAACGGGACACTCTTGCTCCTGCCATTGGCAACCAGAAAGGTCCAGAGCCAGCGGAGGAGCAGCTGCTGAACAAGGACTCAGAGAACATGAGAATGCAGACTAAGCCCACGGAGTCAGAGGTCCAGTGGACTGGGGTCACGAGAGCCGCTTGGAAGCTGTAAACCAGGAGGACCTTGCAGAATCCCTGCAGAGACTCAATGGAAGCCATTCTTTCCCTGACAGTACAGGCTGTGGTGGAGCTCGGGAGAAGTCTGCAGCAGGATTCCTGCCGCCCGTGCTGACAGTTGGGGAGAGGACACTAACTGGTTGTGGGGTCCCAATGTGATGGGAGGCTGGAGAGAAAACGCTGCAAAAAATGGCTTTCGCCCCAGACGGCTCACTCGATTTTTGACAACCCTTAGGGTGTAACTACTTGTTAGATCCTTCTTGTGTATCTCTGTATTCCTGAGAAACCACTTTGAAGATACCACCATGTATTACAGCAGTCATTGATATTTTCTTACTAATCTATCAATAACTCTGCAATGTTTGCATTGTTCCTATCCTAGTTCATAAATGGATCCATGTTTATTATTATGTGTTTCCTACAACAACCATTGAGAATTATTGAATGATTATTCAGTAGGTCACTCATGTATAGTTCTATTTATATTCTTTAGAAGCCACTTTGAAGATACCTAAGTATAGTACAACAACTATTGATAATCTCCTACCTCTTTTGTCTGTAACTCACTATCATTTGTCTATTTGTTTTCCTGAGAAACTATCTTGTAGATAACAATATGTAAAACAATAACCATTGATAATTTCCTACCACTTTGTCTGTAATTTGGTAAGCCCCCCCCATTATTATGTTATCCTTCTTTTACTCTTTAAAATAATAAAATAAAATAAAATATAGCTTTCATCGAGTACTTCCTGTAGTACTAGGTACTTCAGCAGAAACTTACATTAGTACACACAAGTCTTTCTTGTATCTCTTGTGTTACATAGTTTCAGAGATAAGGGAAGCTGAAGAAAGCAGTTGGAAGCAGGATTCAAACTCCGTCCCTGACTGGGATGCATCTTCACTAAGCCATCTTCCCCCTCTGCCTTTTCATACCTCCCCCTGGTATTCTAGAATGTGAAGCATAGTGTGTGTTTCAGTCATAATTCCAAAGAATCCCGAACATTCAACGAATGAGGGCTTTACTATTTCTTCTGATTACCTACTACGCTGCCAGGAACTAGGGGACCTAGCTTCTGCCCATAATTTGGAGCTGCCCTTTGAGTTATGAAGCAGGGTAGCTACATGAAATCAGTAGCCTGCAGTCTCTTCAGGATGGACTCACCTTGTCATTAGAAGGGTCTAGGAGGTCAGGTGTTCTGCTAGGTTTCCTTGCACTTGTTTTCATATTATAGTGTTATTTATTTCCCATGATCTGAACACAGGAGGTGAAGAGACTGTCAGGGATGGCATCTCTCAAAAGGCAGAGGAGCCTCTCCACCCTGAAATACCACATAGGCAAAAGCTGCAACTTTGAAGCCCTCACTGAGAGAGGAAGTTGAAGTGAAGCTTGAAGAATTAGGATTTTTCTTTTACACTTTGTGATAATTCCCTCTTTAGGTAGTCATTTTGAAACAGAAACATTGATAGAGAGCTTTAAAAATAAGATATTTAAATTAAGCTATTCTTTCAGCTTCTTCATGGTGAAAGTAAAAACTGTCACCCCTATCCATCCTGGTGCTAGGAAAATTTCAAGAATGCCAGACTTTCTCTGGGTCAACAATTCTCTGGTCCTGGTAGTGGGTGCACAGCCTACTGAATCAATAGATGTATATTTCCCAGCTTTTGTTCCAGCCTCTCTGTTAGTTGAAGCTTTTGTATGTGCCTACCAGCTGCCCGATCAATTTGGCCAAATTTTGAATAAAGCCATTTTCCTTCTATTTTATTCATTTCTTCATATTCTTGATGGCTGTCAGCCACACAACTCCAAAGAACTGTCTACTCCAATTATGGAGGCTGAGAAGGCCCATAATTTGATTTCTGTGAGCAGAAGGCTCCCCCACCCCACCCAAACTTGGTTTCAATCTGACTCTGGAGGCCAGAGAACCAGCAGAAACCAGGCTTGAGGCTCCAATTGAAGTCTAAATACCTGAAAACCATAATAACTAACATAGCATGTGATGGATGCTCAAGCTCAAGCACAAAATGATCAAAATGCCCAGTACTTTTTTTACATGCCCAGCATTAAAATAAACAAAAGCAAATAATAACAAACACTAGCATAGATGGGGAGAAAAAGTACTTTTATACACTGATGGGAGAATATAAATTTGTATATCCATTAATGAACACAGTATAGTGGTTCAATAGAAAAATTAAAAATAGAACTACCATATGAGCCAGTGATCTCATGTCCTTGCATTTATTTGAAGGAAGTAAAGTTAGTATGCAGAAGAGACACCTATTCACCCATGTTTATTGCAGCATTATTCATAAGAGTCAAGCTGCAGAATTAGCTTGGTTGAGCATCAACAGATGAATGGATGAAGAAAATATGGTATAGGTATAAGATGGAATATTACTTGGCCATAAAGAAGAATAAAATCATGTAATTTGCAGGAAAGTACTTGGAATGGGATAACATCAGGTTAAGCAAAGCAAGACAGACTGAGAAAGACAAATATCACATGTTTTGTAACATGTAGAAACTTGAAAAAAAATTGACTTGAAACTACGATTATTAGGGAAGGCAATGGCGTCCATAGATTGGGGGATGAAAGTATAAGGCTAAGAAAGGTAGAATGGGATGTGGAAATAAAGTGTATCAGTTAGGGTTCCCTAAAAGAAAATAATATGATTATATATATTCATCATATACATATGAATTTACAAAGTAGAAGAATTGGAGGAGCCATTCAAAAGTTAAAGACATGAAGCTCACAGCAAAGCTGTCCTTGTGTCTACATCAAAAAGTCCAAAGGTCTGGAAGGCTAAGGAGTCTGTGCTGGAAGCCCAGAGATGCATGTCCAAAGGCTGTGATGAAGACTGATGCTCCTATGAGGAAGCAGAAGTGATGCTTCCTTCTTCTTTCCCTTTTTATTCCATCTAGGCTACAAGCCTATTGGTCAGTGGCACCCATACCCAGGTGGGTCTTCCATCTTCAACAAGTCAGTCATATAGATTCCTCCCAGAACTGTGCTAAACCAATCAGCTGTTTCTTATTCAAGTTGATATCACAGCAAACTGTCACATAAAGTATGATATGTGTATTCATGGAAAGTTCACAGTGAAATCTACTTGTCCATTAATATGTGCAACTAATATGCATTAATAATTTATATGAGAATAGAAGATTCAACCTTCCTTCCTCTGTTCTTTGCTTTAGTTAGATCCTCAGTAGATTGGATAATATGCACCTGTTTGGTGAGGGACACTTTACTCGGTCTACTGATTCAAATGAACACATCTTCTGGAAATACTGTCATAATCTTTAGGAATTGGGAAAAGCCAAATTGTTTGTGCTACTCTCACAAATCTCTACTCATTTTAGAATACTGGTGACAACTGTTATGTGTTTCTCACCTGCATGCACTAAGTGATTTTCCACTGTGCCAAACTCGGAATGTTGTAACTCAATGCAATTCTGATATTACTTACTTGGAGTTAGTGTTAGATCTTATAAGTTGAAAACGCAGTCCCAGAAAAACGTGCAAGTACTAGGTTGTTACCTGTGTAGTCAAACCTCTGTATCTACTGGTTCCAAATCCACCGATCAACCAGCAACAGATGAAACATTTGGGAAATGTTATGTAGTCTTCATGTTGTGGAGGAATTACCCCATGGTTTCTATGTTTTTTAAATACTGTATTATATCAACAGGTTAGGAATTTGTTTTATAAACTACACTTAAGTCTTATATTTTGCACCATCTTTGGGGCAAGGCATCGAGGCACTGACTCCCAATGCACGTGTATGAAAAGGGAGGGTGTGAAAATGGAGGGGAAATTAGAACATCTTAGCGGGCCCAGAGCATCACTGTTTAGCTCAGCAGTAATTGCTGGAAGTGGAGATGAGTGTCAGAGAACGGGAGAATGTGCCTGAGAACCAGGGCTTCAACTCATAGACTACACAGACCATGGGCACGCTATGAGATCTCTGCACTTTGCAACGGGGCTCATTTGCTGATGGAGGAAACTGAGTGATGCCAACACTAATATGATGTGCTCTCCAGGGACAAGTTGATCCACACATTAGAACTTCTCCTGTTTGAGAGCCGTGAATGGGACAAGTAAAAGCGGCACTGGTCCACAGAAAGATGTCAGATACAGACATCCCTCACAACCCCTATCAAAGCAGTCGCCCTTAAATGTCTCTGCTGGCATTGAAATGGGCAAGGCGTAGTCTTCTAAGGACTGTGCTTGACCTCAGAATCTGCCACAGTCAAAAATCATGTAGATATCCATCCCTGTTGTCCACACCTAGGGAAGTAGGTGGGCTCATCTGTTTCATCTTTTGCCTTGAGGTCTGGCCCACACTGGAGGTGTCTGTCTCCCCCACAGTTGCAAGGTATCTCATCTTGTGCACTGGCTTCAAGGGCCTGTCCCTGTCTGACTACTTATAATATTTGTATCTAACTGTGCTGCCTATAACATAAATATTCATGGTTTTTTTCATATTACATATTTTCAAGTATCAACATTATCAAAGTTTCATTATAGTTTATACCGCTTTTTAACAAGACTAAACTTAACATGTTTTTAATTAAAAATATAACCTTCGAGAGTATTAACTGTTTAAAGAAGACAAGTTTGTTTTCTGTTTTTTTGTTTTCTGGTGTTCATTATTCCAGGAGGACAAGCCTTTCTTGGGACTCACATCCCAATAAATAAAAGTTTGTCAATAAATAAAGTGGTCCATAAATGAATCCCCTAGCTGGGGTCTAAGGCTTAGGCCTAACGAGGAGAGCGGGTAAGAAACAGCAATGATCGAGGCCACCCCTAATTCCAGGAAAGCTGCTCCTTGATTCCGTGGAAGATTCAGCCCAGAGCCCACACTGAACAGCAAATGGACCGGGAGGGCTTTTTTGTTTTTTTCCAGACATCTACTATGCTCTACCTGACTTTGAACACCAGTTGTGTAGACATATTTGAGGATCACCTACATTCTAACATGCAACCACAATTCATTCCATTACTAGCAATGAACATCTAGGCTGGTTCCACATCTTGAATATTGTGAATGGATTATCAATAACATAGGCATGCAGGTATGCCTAACACATGCTTCAGTTATATACCAAGGAATGGTATAGTTGGATCAAATGGAGCTCTGTTTCTAGTGCTTTGAGGACCTTCCATAGTAATTTCTGTAGTGCCTGTACTAATTTACATTCCTACTTGCAGTATAGAATCATTTTCCCACCCACCCACCCACCCCCATTCTAGTCAGCATTTATAGTTTTGTATTCTTCATGGTCACTGTTCTGACTGGGATGAGATGGAATGTCAATGTAGTTTTGATTTGTATTTCCCTAAAGGCTAAAAGATATTGAAAGCTTTTTCTTACATTTATGGGTCACTTTTGTTCTTTGGGGAAGTATCTGTTCAATTCACTTACCTATTTATTGACTGAACTATTCTTCTAGCGTTGTTTATTGATTTCTTTATATATTCTAAATATTAATCATCTGTCAGAAGAGAAGCTGGCAAAAACATTTCTCGCATTCTGCAGGAATTCTCTTCATTCTGTTGGTTGTTTCTCTTGCTGTTCACAAACTTTTTCATTTGATGTCCCATTTCTTGAATCTTACTGTTATTTCCTGTGTTGTTGAAGTACTATTCAGGAAATCCTTATCTGTGCCTATGGCTTCAAAAATTTGTTTTTTTGCTTTATTGTAGCAATATCCAACTTTCAGGTCTTATATGTAGACTTTTGATCCACTTTGAATTAATTTTTTGTAAAGGGAGAGAGAGATAGGGGTCTAGTTTCAATCTTGTACAGATAGATATCTAGTTTTCCTAGCACCATTTATGAAAGAGGCTGTCTTAACTAAAATATGCTTATAGCCTCTTTGTAAAAAAATCAGATAGTTTTAGTGTGTGGTTTTGTTTCTGTGTC